ACATAGCAGAATAGCAACAGATTTCACTGGAACCCAAGTGTCTGCAGTTTAGGTAAGGGCTGGTTATATCACTGACGGAGTAGAGTTTTTATAAGGGGAATGCCAAACTCAGATTTCTGAATGGTCTCTTTGGTAACTGAGCATCTGATGAAAAAGTTATTTGTGGCATTGCTCAAATCACTAGTGAAAGCAGCTTTAGGTGAAATTAAAAAAAAAGCTGTCTGAGCTTGCTATTTATGACAATGAAAGTATTCCTCATGCAAACACCATGAATTTCAATGGCATTTGTGTTTTGCAACTTTCAAGTCACACCTGTGAGCAGAATACCCTGCCTTGGGAAGTGCAAAACCAGCAAGTGCTACACCAACCCCGGAACAGAAGGTCTTTTTATACCTTCAGACTCGATCGCAGCGTCTCTGAAAAGCCCGCTCGCTCCTCCTTGTTGAAGTTGATCCAGGTTTCTATGGCAACCGTTGGATTCTGAGAACATGGAACGCCATCTGCGGTTTGGGGACAGAAAGGCATTTAAGATATCTAGACAAAGGCGTGTATACTCAGGAACATCCTTTTCCTGTGACTCCCTCCCCCAACTCCCACCACAAATCCTACTTTCTAGAGAGGAAAAAAAGATACAGAGGTTTATAGATTTTGGCAGGTATGATCAGCACTGCCAGCCAGGCATCTACCTGAAATTAGTTTGGATGAATATCAGAAGACAGAGCTGCCAGATTGTAAGCACTTTGGATGAGTTTCAGCAAAGGAACCTATGTCCGAGAGAAAGAGGGCAGGAAAGAGAACTTACATGCTTTGTGACAATGAAAAATATTTTGTTATTTAAGCATTTAGGCAAAAAGATTCTCTTACGTGAGAATCTCAGCAGCTGCCTTTCTTTCTGGCTGGTCCTAGAAACCTATCTAGCAAAAGTCATCTGCAGAAATTTTCCTTCTCTGAGCACTGTCAGACAGCTGACCCTCAAGACTGAACATCTGGTGTTGCTGCTATCCCCTTAACGTTTGGAAATCCCCAATGAGCTACTATAGCTTTCCTTAGCAGTGTGACAGTAGGAAACACTGAACAGACTGCATCAGATTTTGATTTCTTTCCAGACATAATTGGAAGTTTTGGTTATGCCACAAACTATTACATCATCATCATCAGTACATTACCTAGAAGATTTTAGGTATTCACTTCCAGTTTGAAAGCCAGCAATTATGCCTGTATTCATTGAGAGGCTTCCCTATGAAGGCTCTCTGATTTTGTAGTCTGCTCTCATGACAAACCCTGAATTCAATGATGCTGAAGGCATCAGACAAATTCCAACATTTTTCTCTATAGTGGAAGGGAGGAGGAAAAGTGTGGAACAAAAGCAAGTATTTCAACTCTGTTTATTAGTAAAAAGGATTTCCATAAGCTATCCATCACATGTAGTGGTTAAATGGAAAAACTTTGATTTTGAAATGGGTCCTAGAGTGCAACAAAAGGTAAGCTTAATAAATTATTATTTCATGGCATTAATTTTAATCCTTGCCACTAATAGCTTCCTCTATTTAATTCTCCATTAACTAAACAAAGATGCAGGAATTGCAAAAGAAAAAGATTTTCCCTGCCAGCAGTAGGAGTATATTTCAGATTATAATCCATTTTATGAGCTAATCTTCAGCATAACTATTGAGTAATGTGATTCTATATATGGAAATAGATGAAGCATGGGAAAAAAGTTTTACTGAGCGAGTTAAGGGTGATTGACCTCTATAGCTTTATTTAATGATTTTAGGAATTTTTTATTTGATGAAGTCACAACTTAGTTTAAAAACTTCAGCTAGTAAGTTATCAAAATTACTCTAATTTTATGATAGCTTTTTTGAGCTATCAGTACATACTCTCAATAGGTTTTTGACTGTGAATTTCTTCAGCTGCAACAGAGATAACACGATGCAATATCTGTAAAGACTCTCATATGCATAGCATCAACTTTAAAGGCTATTTTAAGTCTTACAGACAGATTTTCCAGTATTCCAAAGAAGCCAGTCATGGTAGTTTTATTGTTGTAACAGCATATAAAACACATGACACACATAGTATAGTTATTTACTCATTTACAAAATTATTTAATTAAAGCAAGAAAGGGGCAATCCCTCTGATCCGAAGTCCAGTACATTTGAATGTATGAGCTGCTTCTACATTCTTGCTTCCTCTAGCAACAATACATAAATGCACAAAAATGGGAGTTGTGACTGCAGCATCAGGGAGAGGTTTTCAAGTACTGGCTGTACTTACTAGGGCAGTAGAGAATCTTTAAGGATTGGTGGCAGTTGGACTAAGTTGTTGATGTGTTGACACACCTTCACAACCCTGAGTCATTGCATCCATTACTGTGGAAGGCCATTACCTTTACCAGAAGGGTAATTACTGTATTACCTAAGATGTCACAATGCCTCTATTTCAGTCAGCTGAATGCCTAGCCTAAATAGTTCTAACAATTATATACAATTGTTAATAACACGAACATAGTCTAAAAATAAGGCTTGTGCTCAAGCCTTCTTACAAATGTTGAGTTGTTGCATTACTATGTTAAATGATTAAGAACTAAAGAAAAAAAAAATAAGACTTTCATAAGATGTTCATTTCTGGTTTTACTTTTAATGCAAAAAAAATTACAACAAATTGTTGAAATTTATTAAGTTATGCTTAAAAAACCTGTAATGCTTCTGACCTGTTGACTCAGGAACTGCTGGGAATTACCAGCATCCTCTGTGTCCCTTTTCTATAGCTTAGACGTTTCATGTCCAGTAACAGCTCATAGTTTATTTTCTGATTAAGTCATCCAGGATGTTTTGCTTTGCTTAGCTTAGCTAAGCCTCTGAATAGACAGTGATTATGAAAGCTCGGATCTTTCAATCTATTTTGTTCAGTCCCTGATAGACTCTCTCCAAGTCTACATCCACATCTGGCTAGTCCTCAGAACTCCTTACCTGTAAGGATGTCTGTCAGTAGGCGGAGAGGCAAGTGTAGGAACTCCTCTGTGTCTTGCAGTTGAGACAAATGTGACTTTGCACAGTGTTTGGCAGCTGTGTAGAGCTCCATGTCACTGTGTTGATCTGCCAACCACATAACCTGCAGACAGTTCCTAACCTGCACCGTACGGGCCAGAAAACGGGAGCACTCTTCAAAAAGGGCAGTCAGCTGGTACATGTCTGCCACTTCATAGGTTTCCTGCAACTCCTCTGCCCTCAGCTTTACGGTCCCATGGTAAATATAGTCCACAAGGAGCTGAAAGACACTCTCGCTAACGTCCTGCAGCTCAATCACCCGGTTGTGGGCCTCCTTTAGGTTGGAAGTGAACATAGAACGAAAAAAGCAACTCTGAGCTGAGAGGACCAAACGGTGCAGCTGGAATTCTTTGCCTTCCACTGATATTGTAACATCAGCAAAGAGCTCATCCTCCAAGCACAATTTCATAATACCCTGGGCCACACGGCCTGAGTGGGAGCGGTCAGTGAAGGTGTAGTTCACAAAGTAGTTCTCTTCCGCAGAGGAGCCTCCAGTCTCTTCTGACGAGTCCATAGTGCTGCACAGATCAGACCTCCAGCAATCTGTAAAATCACAATAATTATATGGCTTTCTCTCTCCACTAACAAGATTATGCAGTACTTCAGGGTACAGGGAAAAATCAAACGTATTGGTAAGAGGCCAGCATATTTTAGACTGAATATAAATAGCGCAGCCAGAAACTTCTGCTTGAGCTTCAGAATCTCAAACAACAAATGAGAAGTTGGCATAATTAAAATTATAATATATACCAAACTTCCAGTACAGTGAGCATCACATCCCAGCAGAACTGGGAGATGTGCATATCTTTTCACCACTCATTTCACTGACATGAAGAAATGCAGCAACGGTTATTCAAGTGAAAAGTCCAGCAACCGCACTAGGAAACTCGCAAAGTCAAAAGAATGTGGCAGCACCATAGCTGGGCTAGATGGAAAAAGGATTACAGTATCATACTAACAAAGAGCACAGACAGCAGTTCATATCATCAGGAGGAGTTAATTACCATCCAAAACCAACATGATGAATCTGTGCAGTGGTATCAAGTAAGGTGAACTTTTTTTTACCAAAAGAGATGTGCAAGAAGTCTGCCAGACATAACCACCCATCCTCCAAGCTAACCAAATGAGATAACTGATGGTCTTACTCAGTTTGTTAATGTGCCAGGTATCTTCAGCATGCAAATAACCTGCTAGATGTTGTTAGCCGCTGTTTCCCAAGTGGCAAGGAGAACTCAATTTAAAAGATAACACCTCTTAGTAGGTACCAGAGATTGTTTGCAGAGGTCCAAGCAGTTTGTGGGTCGAAAAAGCTTCTGAACCAGAGAAGGACTTGTATAGAAAAGAGTTATTCTTTAACGTGGCTCTTGACAGCATTAGGAGCAAATAGATGCCTGCTTGCATTCACTTTAAACTTATTTTTACACCTCAACTATCAGCCGTGGTGACCGATGTCACAAATTTCTTCAATTAATACTAAACATGATTTCCAGTACAGTGTTTCCCAAAGACAGGATTTTTTTCCCCAAGAGATTCACAATTACTCTTCCATGCTTTACTTTGTCAAACATGCATTTTCTTACAATAGCTCTGCTTGACACAGGAGGACTCCTAAGTTCTTTGCTCAAGTTCTGTTCACGGGAAGTAGCGTCTACATCCCTAATTAGCTGGACAAGTCCGTCCCATCCCTGATGGTGGCCTGTCCTAATTATACCCTTATTGTTACGTTACAGTAGTTCTGGTCTGTCTTAAAAGTACCTATACATTAATCTGTAAGAGGCTGAGGAACTGCAATTGGCACAGCACACATTGGTACTATTTTTCCAGCTTTAGCAAGTACAAGCCTATCCTGCAAACGGGCTCCCACTTCAGTTAAAGCTCTTGATCCTTACAGTCAAGGTGCTCAGAAGCTGCAGCCCCGAGCGCCGAAGTGACCACGCAGAGCACCAGGATATGGATGGACCAACTACTCTGCCCTCTTGGCACAGCAGAACCGGCTGCCCCCACCGCCCCGCACAATTCCCAGAGGACTGGTGCCAAGTCACGAAAGAAATGCCAACAGCAGCTAAAGACTACCGTAAATCTCACATCCTTCTTTGTAAACACAAAGTTCCCCTTTGCATCCATGGCATCTCCACTATAAAGAAAGAGAGGTGCAGGACCAGTAAAGTGTCTTACACTCCATGCATATTTTGCACTACCAAAGCAATGGCCTGCCGTATGCCAGGCTATAGGTGACGATGGCGCAACCAATACTTCCTTCCTTGCTCCTGACAGGGTCGCGGATGCCATGACAGCGCCTGGGATCGGGGAACCCGTACACACAACTGACAGCGACTTCACGCTTCGGGGGCGGGGGGGAAAGGAAAGCTAACTCTCGGACAAGTAAAGACCCCCATTAAGGCCACGCGAACGCTGTGAAAACCGCCAGAAAGTTAC